CATATGATGATACTGGTATGTTATTGAAAAATCTTTTTTTGCATATTATATGTAATTATTCTTTTACATAGGTATTAATTTGACAGCTGAAAGTAATAAAGGTCAATTGGATGCATATATGAAAAGTGCTGAATGGGATTTAGAAGGTAGAGAATTGATATCATTTACTTATAATCAGTTTCTCTTCCAGATTTTTCTGCAGTTAATAATGCTACAAAATATGATTGTTGTCCGACTTTATATCCATTTGTTCTTTTTACTTTGAAAATTCGTCGACGTTCTTTATATTATTTTACAAATATCGTCCGTAATGAAATAATAAATTATACAATTTTCATATTATCGTTTCTTGTTTTGTAGTACCTTGTTTTCTTATAAGTTGTATGACAATACTTGGATTTTTATTAGCACCAGATAGTGGCGAAAAATTAACTTTACGTAAGTACAAATTTTATTATTTAATTAATCACATTTTTAAATAATACATATTTAGAAATTACAATTCTTCTTTCTGTTGTTATGTTCAGTCTACTCATGTGTGAAATAATGCCACCAAGTTCAGCTGCTGTACCAATTATTACGAAATATTTTATGTGTATTATGGTTATGTCAACAATTTCTGTTATTGCATCAGTACTAGTAATATCAGTTCATTTTAGAACTTCGAAAAATCATAAAATGCCAATATGGGTATGTATAAGAAATTAAGAATTACGAAATAAAATTTGATTTTTCGAAAACTATCCTAGGCTAATAAATATATATGTCATTATTTGGCATGGTTATTACTTATGAAACGTCCTCGACATGATTTAAGTTGGAAAGCAATACGTCGTCGATGGGGTCCATCGAAACAAGAATCAAATACTATCAATAATTCAACTAGTAATCATCGATATAAATCTCCTTCTGCACCTTTATTAAGTAATGTTTTCGAATCACTACCAAACAATGTTATCGATGTCAATAGACAATCATTTCAACTCATAGAAGATCCAAATAAAGAACGTTCTGAGTCACCCATAAAATATTCGTCAACATCAAATTCAAATAAAATTCCACGTTCTTATCGACAACAAGATTTATCCAGAGAAGTTCATTTATTCGATACGGAAATGATTCGTTCGGAATTACGAGTGATTATTTCTCATCTTGCTATTCTTACACATCATACACATCACGAGGAAAAACTTGATAATGAATCTCAAGATTGGAAATTTATGGCAATGGTTATTGATCGTTTATGTTTAATATTTTTTACGTTATCCATGGCTCTTTTTACTACACTTACTCTTTTATCAACACCTAACTTTTACAAACTTCAATAGACAATGTATTTAATTGTGAACATATATTCATTATCTGCCTTATTAATAAAATGCGTCTTACTTCATTCAGTTTTTCTTCCATTTTTTTTTGGATACATATATTTGTTTCAATACATATCTTAGAAAAAATATTAATAGTTGTGTCGAAAACTGTAAAGTAAAATTAAATTGCAATACGCATAAATGAATCCGAGTCACTTATGATATTTGTTGTATTAGACAGGATTAGATATGTACTTGAAACAGAAAAATACCAAAAATAGCGTTTTAATCATGATTTGTGTCCTATTTCGTAATAGACATGACAAAGATCAGTATATTATTTTCATTGTCCGGACAAGTTTACTGATTCATGTACAGTTACTTTTCAATGAAATTAAAAGATGAGTACAAATAACTTCGTCATATGTTCTTTATTACTCAAAAGGGTCTTTGGAAAAAAAATTTATTAACATACATGATGTGTATATCATATAAATATTACAAAATTATTAGTTAATCGTTTTACTCTAACATTAACGATGTTGAAAATATACTATTAATTTTTTTATTATATGAATATAATAGAACACAATAGTATTATAGACAAAAATAACGAGTGTTGATAAACTAAGTAATGTTCCTGTTATAGAAGCTATAACATGTGAATAAAACTTATGTTAACCAGATGTTAGTATACACAGCTTATCTCAACTTTATTGATAGTCTTGAATAGACATATTGTGAATAAATTATTCTTCTGCGTGTTCGTTTTTTTTCTTTTGTTCTAAACAAGACAAAAAAGTATGAAATATTTTTATTTTATTCATCAAAGTGGTGTTTAAGATAGTTTCTCTTGATATAATTACTTTTGTTATCTAAAGACGAAAAGCTTTGTTTTTTTATAATGTAATTCTAACTCTTAACTTTCATCTATAGCAAGTACAAATCGCATCACATATTTATTAAATCTTCTGTTTAGTGTAAGACTATGATAGGGGAGGGAAAGGATGTATACTTTAAAAGTAATCATAGAAGAACTACTTTGAAATAAATCGTAGATAACAAGAGTTTGCTCCATATAGTTGGTATAATCGTTATATTCAATTCTCGTTTTCCTTTCGATATTTAATCAAATTAAGATAGTACAAGTTCGCTCTAGATATTGAAATTCATCTGGAAAGTCTTTCATACTTTCGTAATTGATTAAACAAGTTTCGATATTTCCTTATCTTCTAGACGTAATTAATATTATTTGTGGTGTGAAAGTAAGAAACACATATTACGATATTACAATGCTAACCAGCATGCCTTCATTCATATCACTAGTATGTCTTATAATGGTAATTAATATAAATCGTATCAGTTTATCGTACACAATTCCATCAACATCTACTCAACTATATGTTGTTCCATTTTCATCATTATTCGGTGTTAATGGCGATGGTTCACGTGCTCATCCGTTCTCATCACTTCAACAAGCACTTGATCATATTGAACTTAAATATCATCGTAGTACAATTATGCGAACAGATATGATAACGATCAATTTATATCCAACACATCATTTTGTCAATACTATTTATTTACGACAAGCTCACAGTCATACACGATTGACTACAATGAATGCTGAAGACACTGCTTTCTACAAAGACTTAGTTGTTCATGATCACACTCACCGAAGATTGTCAACTGCAAGCATTAGTGGTGGCATACCAGTTACTGGTTGGACATTAGTCGGTGATAATCTCTATAAAGCTACGGTTACCACAACAACATTTATCAATCAATTATTTGTTGATAATCGACGTATTGCTCGTACACGTCTTCCAATGAATCCATCTGAATATCTTCAATATGCAGCTCCATTACAAGATCCAAATCAAGCTCGATACGGTTTTCAATATGCTACAGGACAGTTCGAATCTTGGCCATTAGATGATGCAATGGTAGTTGTATATCATAGTTGGACAACATCACATCATTATATTGATAAACTTAATCTATCAAATAAAACTATTCTGTTTACTAATCCATCCAATAGTCCAATTGGAGCAGCTGTAGCACAAGGACAACGACGATTTCATGTTGAAAATATGTGTATATCATATGTTCCAAATTCATTTTGCTTTTCAAATGCAACAAAAACTGTTTATCTAATGACAGATGGTTCTTACGATCCAAATAAATCACAAATTATGACATCTATAAATGAATATGTTGTCGTACTTGCTGGTAATAGTATTACTAATCCAATTGAAGATATTATTATTGATAATGTTGCAATACAACATAGTGCATGGAATATTGATCGAACTCAACAAGCTGATTATCAAGCTGCTTCATTTCTTACATCTGCTCCACTGTATATTGCAAATGCAACATCTATCATTATTACGGATGTTGAAATCAGTCATACTGGTTCGTATGGAATATGGATTAAAGAAGGAACAAATAGTATCAATATTATTAATTCATTAATTACTGATACTGGTGCTGGTGGTATTCGAATTGGTCAAATGATATCTCCAGTGCCAACACCAACTACTTCTATTCATATCATATCGAATGAAGTTAGTTATGGTGGAAATGTTTTTCCAAGTGGTGTAGGAATAATTAGTCATCGTGCAGTTGATGTTATTATTGCTGATAATAGTATTCATCATCATCGGTATACTGGTATCTCTATTGGATGGGAATGGGGTTATGCTCCATCATATACAAGTAATGTACTAGTTCAAGGCAATTATATTTATAATATTGGACAACATATTCTTTGTGATCAAGGTGGTATTTATACACTTGGCATTCAACCAGGAACAATAATTCATGGTAATGTCATTAAGAATGTCTTTAGTTATGCTATGTATATGTGGGGTATTTATCTCGATGAAGGTACATCTCAAATCGTTGTTTCTAATAATATTGTATATAATACTGGTTGGGCATCTTTTTTCCAACATTATGGTGCTAATAATACCATTATCAATAATGTATTTGCACGTGCTTCACTTAATCCACCACCACATCCTGATGATCCTAAAACAGATGGTAATATTCATGTCGGACTCGCAGAAAATCATACATCAATTACATTCGAACGTAATATCGTCTACGATACATTTCAAGGAACTAATCATTCTGCTTACTTATCTGATCAAGATGCAATTGTATTCCTTAACAATAATCTGTATTATAATTCTAATGGAGCTGAATTATTATTTGGAAGACAACAAATATCATTCACTGAATGGCAAAAAACTGGACAAGATAATGGTAGTATTGTAGCAGATCCACTATTTATTGGTGATGTTAATCAATGTGATTTTTTTACAATTCAATCCAATAGTCCAGCAGCAAAAATTGGATTTACGAATCTAACTAAACTTTCAAAATGGACTCCAGGATGTGATATGAATGATAAAATTGATAATAATAATCAATTTTACTATTGGTAATCGATAGTCTTATTCATAATATACACATTAGTTTGTCTTTTGTTTTTCTTTTTATGATTACGAACTAGCTTAGAATATATTGATTCCTATTATATAATAGATTGTAAACTTTATTGATCATTAACAATAAATATTATTTCATAGCGAGAGATTTCAACTGATACTAGTTTAATTCTTTTAATCTTTCAAAACATATTTTTGATAGAAAAAAACATTATGAAAGATAAGAAAGTTTTTAAGGAGTATAAAGTTCACAACTATTTAATGTATTATATGAAATATCTCGACCACCACATACAAGTACTTCACCAGTCGATGGAATTAAAGTAGTTGTAAAAGCTTCTCTAATTTTATTCATTGTTGCTGCTTGACAAGATAACATTGTTTTTAGATTCAGAATTTCCGATGGAACAATTGAAAGAGTATTTGAAAAACCATCTGTAATTAAAATATCATGATTATTATTTAATAAAGTAGCATGATGATCAAAACGTCCATATTGTATAGTACCTTTATAAATAAATGATAAAGTTTTAATATCAAATAATTCCCAACTATTTATATGATATATATCATTATTTTCTCCACCAATGATAAGAATTTGATCTTTAGGAAATGGAATATACGTAGCTGTATGTCGAGCTCGTGCCATTGACATTGTTATATTTGGTAAGATTTCAAACATATTTGTTTCTACATCATAAAATTCCATTGTACTATATGTATTTCGTCTGTTATTCTCATTATCTCTTCCACCTATAATTAGGATCTTATTGATTGTTGGTATATATGTTGCTGTATGATAAATACGTCGAACCATCATTGTATTTACTATTGGTATAAAATGTTTACCATTGAATAAATCACCAGTAGAAAGAATAGTAGATGAATAATTATGACCACCAAGTAAAAGAACCTTATTATCGAATGGAATGACTACAGATGTATGATATCGTCGATTTGTTAACATTTCAATTGATGTTATTTCACCTGATATTGGATCTAATAATTCTGCTGTAATTTGTTCTTTTGGTGTCGATATTGATGTTCCACCAGTAAGAAGAACTAAACCTAATAATGGTAATAGATCAGCAGAATGAAGTACACGTTTAATTTTCATTGATCTATGTAAATTCATCACAAATGATTGATTAGAAATAATATATTTTTGAATAGTATTAAAATAGATAAATTCATTTCGAGTTCCACCGGTAATAATAATAGAATTATCTTGTGGAATATATGTACTTCTATGATACATAAGATATTCAAACATATTTTCAACTCTTGTCCATTTATTTTGTAGATCTATGAAGAATAATATGATTCCTTTTAGAAAAAATAAAATATTTACTAGTAGAATTAATTTAACAAGTATTTGGTGGTTGTGATGATGTTGTAACTGAATAAACGGTTGATGTCAATGATGAATATTCATCATAATTATCTGTTGATGAATTTTCTAATGCAATAAATGAATTATTTTATTATCTATCTTTATATTTCCTGAGATATTTACCGGTATATGGGAAATTAATAATTGAACATAAATTAAATTCGATAAACTCATTATCTATTTCTATTGTAAAATATGTTATATTTTGAAGTTGTTCATAAATATTACTATATAATTCTTTTAGACATGATTGATTTTTGCATAAAGATAAAAATGAATGCTTAAGATGAAATTGAAAAGTCAATAACGTATCATTAATATTTGGAAAAAAGAAAGTGCATTGTGTACTAAAATAAATGAATATTTTCATTTCAATTAATTATGCGAAAAAAAAATTTCTGTAACATACGGTTGTTTATCGAATGCTTGCTTAACTATATTTTGATATTTTTTTTCTAAT